CCTGCACAATTTGTTTTTATTACAAGTTTCCTTGGAAAGGGGAAAGTGTGAAATTGCTCCAGAGACAAATGCCAGAGGCCTCCTGGGGAAGAGCATGGACTGCAGAAGCAGGCTGCCTAGTTTGAATGCCAGCTCTCATACCTACTGGTTACCTGACCTTGGGCAAGTTGCTTAACTTCTCTGTGCATCACTCTCTACCTGTATGCAAAGGGGATGACAATAGCATCTACCTTATAAATTAATATTTGGAAGGCACTTAGTACAGTGTCTGGTACACAGTTAATGATGAATTTATAAATCCCTAGTTTTCCAAAGACTATTCTTGCCACAAAGTCTTTAAATTGTTTCTCACAATGGATCCTCTAACATTCTGCTCTGCTATTTGTGAGAGTTTGCACCAAAGCAAAGAGATGACTTCAGCACTTTGGATGTCCTTTCTTTGCTATATGACTTTGTCCCTGTAGAAATTTTTAGAGTTTGCTCCACTCTGGGGTCAGAAGGCAACTTAACCCTACTGGATTTGGGCTGTGTTAGCTTTAGGTGGATCATTAACGTTGGGAGAAATGGTCACCTCTGGGCGCTATTTGATTTTTGTCCACAGGCCTGCAGAGGAGATTTCTCAACCCATAGTTGAGACATTTATGTGCACTTATTCATCTATTTGAGATTTTCTTTGAACCCTCTCTTATATGAGGCACTATTTTCCTACCTAGGATTAGAATATTGAACAAGAAAAAAGTGATCTCTGCCCTCAGAGACCCTGCTTCCTTTCAAAAGTATGAATAAATAAAGGAAGAGCCAGGACAGTTATGGATGAGTCACTTATGTTCACAAGGCAAGAGGCATCTGGCTTTGCCTGAACAGAGGGCCACTGCTGGATTACAGAGAAACCATCAGAGCTTACGGCAGTCTCAGGACTGGAGAAATAGAAGTGAAAGCAAGATCCCAATGAGAAGGGAGGTGTAGAGAACTGAGCATGATAAAGGGCCAGTTTTCTCCATAAGATACTTGGCACAAGTTCCATAAAATGGGAGATAAAAAGATAATGCCACTCCTTAGAGAGGCTCCAGTAAATGTACCAAATGTATTAGTTTCCTGCTACTGCTGAAATAAATTACCACAAACTTCTTATCTTACAGTCCTGAAGATCAGAAGTCTGAAATGGGTTTTACTGGGCTAAAATCAAGATGTTAGCAGAGCTATGTGCCTTTCCGCAGGCTATATAGGTGAATCCATTTTCTTGCCTTTTCCAACTTTAGAGTGGCCCACTTACTTGGCAGGTGGCCTCACCCTCTTCAATCTCCCAAGCTAGCAATGGTAGAGTTTTTCTCTCACTGCATCTCTCCGACACTATTCTCCCTGTCTCCTCCACATTTGAAGGACCCCAGGTGGGTAACCTTATCGACCCACCTGGATAATCAAGCAATGCATTTCTAAATAGACCGTAAGTTGAATAAGAAATCACAATAAAAATTAGAGTACATTTTGAACTGAATGACCATGAGATTATAATATATCAAGAAAAAGAATGCTTTATAGGCATATATTAGAGTGTAAGAGAGACTGAAAAATCAATGATTTTAACTTACTTTTTAGAAAGCTAGAGAAAAAACAAAACCCAAAGAAAGTCAAGAGAGCAGAAATCAGTGAAATAATAAATGAATGTACAACAGAGAAAATCAACAAAGCCAAAAGTTGATTCTTTGAGAATGATAATAAAATAGATAAAACCCTGGCAATACTGACCAAGGAAAAAGAAAACATAAATTACCAATATCAGCAATGAAAAAGATTACAGTAAGGATCCTCCACACATTAAAAATGCCCAAAGGTAATATCATGAAGGATTTTACATCAATAAATTTGAAATTTAGATGAAATGTACAATTTCTTAAATAACAAAACTTACCAATACTGAAGCTTGAAGCATCAGAAAATCTGAATATTTCTCTAACTGTAAAGAAACTTATTCTGTTATTGAAAACCTTTCCACAAAAAAACTCTAGACACAAGTGGCTTCACTGGTGAAGTCTTCCATACATTTTAGAAAGAAATAACACTCTTCTTACACAATGTCTTCCAGAGAATAAGAAAAGTAACATCTCCCAATTCATTTTATGAGCCCTCATAACCTAGAAACCAAACCTATAGGGACATTAAAATAAAAGAACAGTGCAGAATGATTTCTCTCAAAACATATATGCAAAAAATCCTAAACAAAATACTATCAATTCAAGTTCAGCAATATATAAAAAGCATTATACATAATGAACAATTGGGGTTTATTCCAGAAATGTAATAGTTTAACATTTAAAAATCAATTAGAATAGTTCACCACATTAACATAAAAAGGAGGGGGACTCATTATCTTCTGTGCAGAAAAATACCTGATAAAATTCAACATCCATCCGTGATGTAAAAAAAACAACAAAAAAAGGCAACCCAGGAAGAAAGGGAACTTTAGTGTGGTTAATAATATCTAAAACAAAACAAAACACCAGCAAACATTTTGCATAATGGTGAGTGATTGAAAACTTTCTCCATCTATCATCACTTCTACTCAATATTGTAGTAATAGTTTGTTTGGCAGTGTCTATAACAGCTGAACCTATATCCGCTTTATGACCCAAGGATTACTCTCTTGGGGAAATACCCTCCAGAATATACTTACCTATATGCACTAAAAACATTTACTAAAATGTGACAGAAGTCCTAGTCAGTGCAGTAAATCAAGAAGAAGAAAGTCATAACCTAAAGGAAAGGGAAAAAACCAAAACTGACATTATTCACAAAAAACATAAAGATGTACATAGGAAATCCGAAAGAAACCGTTAGAATTAGTAAGATAATTTAGCAAAGCTATTGCATTTGAGCTCAACATACAAAAACCCTGCTTTTCAGACACGAGCAACAAATGGAAAATGAGATTTCTACCTATAAAAGCCCACACTGGAAATTACAATCAGGAGGAAAGATAAAGTGTGCTACATAACACGCAACACTGAGGACGAATGAAGGACAACTATACACCACAACATAGATGAATCTCACAAATATAATCTTGAGTGAAAGAAGCCAGATACAAAACTGTACAAATCGTATGACCCCATCTCTATAAAGTTCAAAGATCAGCGGAATCAGTCTATGTGGTTAGAAGTCAAGACAGTGGGTACCTTTGTAGGAGAGATGGGAAGTGAGCGGAAGAGGGAGCCAGGGGACTGTCCGGGCTCTGGGACGTTCTGTTCAACGTGCTGTTCTTGGTTAGGTGCCGGCTGTGCGGTTGTGTTCACCTGGTGATAATAAATCGACTGTGCACTTAGCATATGTGAGGTTTCATGTTTGCTTGCTCTCTCTCTCTCTCTCTCTCTCTCTCTCTCTCTCTCTCTCTCTCACCGGTAAGGGAATCGCAACCCTTGGCTTGGTGTCCTCCGCACCACGCTCAGCCAGTGAGCGCACAGGCCATCCCTATATAGGATCCGAACCCGCCCAGGGAGCGCCATTGCGCTCTCAGCGCCTCACTCTCCCAGCGCCTCACTCTCCCAGCGCCGCACTCTCCCAGCGCTGGGTTGGAATTTTGTTTAAAGTCAGAGGACGTCCCCAGGCAGAAGTCACAGACTTGGGGAGGATCGGGTTGCGGGGCGAGGAGCAGCCCTGTCCCCGTTCAGCACTTCACCTGGCCTCGGCTTCCCAGAGCACAGGGGACAGTGTCCTTTGTGGGAGCCTCCGGGAGAACCCCGGAGTGACCAGTGGAGACGCTTTAGGAGAAAGGGTCTGAGAATCCCTGAGAACCGTGTTCACAACGTCGTGCGCTCGTCCGTGGAGGCGCGTGCTTTCCCAGGGGAAAGGGCCACAGTTTCGCCCCGTGGACGGCTTCGGGCCCGAAGGGTCTGGAGCTGCTTGGTGAAATGACAGTTCGGGGGCCAGGGACCTGGGTGCTACAAACTAGCAACTAACCTGGGCCCCGGGGATCTCTCCGTGGAGGAGGGCGGTCAGCCCAGCGCGCCCCGAGGTGCTCCGGCTCGCCCCGGGGTGCGGACCCTCGCCCGGCAGCAGAGGGCTGGCCTCGCGGGCCGGTCGGCTGAAGGCACCGGCTGCTCGCCGGCTAGGCCGGGAGGCATGACAGTGAGGGAAGGAGGGAAGGAGAATACTGAGGAGCAGACTGTCATCTCCAGTTGGGGGTTGATGGTCACGCTTGCATCCCTCTGGCCAGTACAGAGCGTTAGCAGGAAACCAGGAGCCCGTTAAGGTGCCCTTCTGTTGGCCCAGTCTCAGAATGCAATGGAACCTGTGCCCTGTGGTGTTCACGGACGAGAGTGAGGAGGGCAGGACAGAAGGTGGTGGCTGGCAAGGCTTTCCAGGGTGGTGCTGTCTCTCCTCCAGCTCAGGGAGTGGGTCCCCTATACCTCTGGCCTCTCTCCCGCAGGGTTGTGTCTGGCTGTCCCTGAGAATACCGTGAGATGGTGCGCCGTGTCGGATCATGAGGCCAGTAAGTGCCACAGTTTCCGTGACAATATGAAAAAAGTCCTTCCAGCAGATGGTCTCCGCGTTGTTTGTGTGAAGAAAGCCTCTTACCTTGACTGTATCAAAGCCATTGCGGTAAGTCGCTGCTGCCTAAAAGAGAGTGGAAGAAAGTCCATACTTTCTTTTTCTTTTTCCACTCTTGATATTGTGTGCTGCTTTCTCCTGACAAGAACCAGACTGTGCTTTAGAGGAGAAAAAACAACCCAAAGATCTGAAAGTACAGAGACTGTGTGTAGAGAAAAATATAGCTGCTTAATGTTCATTGATAGTAGAAATTATAATTATAATCTTAATCATAATTAAATGACTAATAGAGAAGGATTCAACCCCAGTAAAATACTTGTAGTACAGCAAAGTCAGCATTACATTGAAAGAGAATCTGTAAAGACCCAGAAATAAACAAGAAGCTCCAGCTCACTATTATTACTTAACATTGCTTTTAGAAGTTCCCAGTGATGCATTAAGATATAAATTTGTCACCTGCATGAAGAGAACCTCTTACCTCGAGTGCATCAGGGACATCGCAGTAAGTCAGTGCTGCCTAAAAGAGAGTGGAAGAAAGTCCATACTTTCTTTTTCTTTTTCCACTCTTGATATTGTGTGCTGCTTTCTCCTGACAAGAACCAGACTGTGCTTTAGAGGAGAAAAAACAACCCAAAGATCTGAAAGTACAGAGACTGTGTGTAGAGAAAAATATAGCTGCTTAATGTTCATTGATAGAAAGGTAGAGCACAGCTGGGGTCCAGCTGCAGCCAGAAGGAAACCCAGAGTCCAGCCCCACTGGTCTCTTGACCAAATTCTTCCCAGACAGAGCTTATGCTGTTTGTTCTTCCTCAATGTGTATAATATAGCAATAAATAAACAAAAATATCAATATTTTCAGATGTTTGCTTGTAATAGAAATGTATAATTATTTGTTAATAAATAAATTAGTTTGGTAAAAAATAAATATATCACAATTAACATCATTTTCATATACCAACAGTCATTAAACTGATAAGAACAGATACTACACTTGATCTTAGCCAAAAGGCCGAGAAGCGATACCAACAGTCATTAAACTGATAAGAACAGATACTACACTTGATCTTAGCCAAAAGGCCGAGAAGCGATACCAACAGTCATTAATTGTGGAAAAACAGCCCAAAGTTGTGATTACATTTAAAATAATAAACAGAAAAATATTTCTGGGATAATAGCATATGAGAGAACTGCAAGGCTATTATAAATATAATATAAAAGTCTGTTTCAAAATGGATATTTATAAAGCTGTTCTCCTAAGAAATGATTAGAGCAGCCCAAACTAAATATCCTGAAAGGATTCCGTGGCTGTACCCTAAATGTCCTTCTTGCTTTTTCTTCTTTCAGTTCTAATTAAAATGTAATAATGTACTCAGACTAACAAAAAAATTAATAATATTTATTAATAAATGAAAACATATGCCATATTCCTAGTTGGAAATACTAAATATCACATACTTGCAAATCCTCTCAAAGTTAATTCATAAGTTTAGTATATTTTCCTCAAAATACAGTCTTTTTAAAAGAATCAGTAAAATGATTATAAAATTCTTAAGGAAAAGCACACACTGTTATTTAAATATGGTATAGCAGGGAGTGGCTGAGACCTACCTGAAACTCTACCATGTTTAAATAATAGTGTTACAAAAACAGGGTGCTGGTGCAGATACAGAAGACCTGGAACAGAACAAAATTCAGGCATAGTCTCAGTTTTACATATGTCCATCCATCTATCTAATTATCTGCATGATTTGATATAGATGCAAATTGTGATAAATGTTCAACATTCAGCTTAATACATTTAGTTACATATATGCAGATTTATTTTAAAATTTAATTATTAATTGACAAATAAATATATACATATATGGGGCACAACATGGCATTTCAATACATGTGCTACATTTAGATAGAAATGTATGATAAGGCAAACAAATGGCTGAGAAAGGATTCTTTAGTTGGACTACTGGGTAGCCATTTAGAAAAAAAAATCAAGTGAGAGTCTTAATCCATTCACCAAAATAAACACCCAGCTTGACTCAACTTGACTAAAAGAAATAGACATAATCTGTAAATCACAAAAGTAGACAAATCTGGAAATGTAAAAATTTTTAAACTATAACAAATTTTTTTAAAAAGCCTTTTGTATCCAAAAAATAATTCACATCAGCTATAACAAAACAGCATACTGTAAAAACTGTATAAAGAAGTTATGTAAACTTAAAAGAAATTCTTAAGAATAACAAGGTATAAACAAACTACTCACAGAAAAGACATGACAACTAATAACATATGAACAATAAAGGAAAAATGTTCATGTTTTTTTAATAATTAAAGAAATGAAAATAAAACCATTCTTAAAGTAAAAGTTTACATCTAGAAATATAACAACATTTCTTAAGTGATGGCTTTTCTCACTGGTAGGTTTGCAGTTACCTTGGTGTGCATTGCTATTGGCATTATATATCATAAATTTCTATATACTTTCTGGACAACAATTTGGAAAATTCAGTAAGGGTTCTAAAGATGCACACAAATTTTTATTTATTTATCTCTAATTAATACATATGAGGATACTTCAAAAAGTTCATGGAAAGATTCATATTACCTTTTTTTTTTTTGGCATCTGGCCGATACAGGGCTATGAACCCATGACGTTGGTGTTATCAACACCATGCTTTACCAAGTGTGCTAAGCGGCCAGCCCCCATATTAACTTTTAATTCTATTTTCCCACAAACTTTTGAAGTACCCTTGGGGATGGGAAGCGGGAGGGAGGAGAGAGCGTGAGAGATTGATTTATTACAAGAATTTGACCTTTTGCAATTGTGGGAGCTGGTTAAGCAGTCTTTACAAGACTGCTGTCTTTTTGTATCTGATATTGGAATGGGAAGAGGTGGCAGTCAGGGAAGGAAGATGTATGTAAGGTGGGAAAAAGCAAGAATGACCTGGAACCTGCAGTCCTGACCTAGAGCCTGTGGGGATGGACTGAAACCCATGTCAGTTCTTGTTGCTTCTGATCCTGATGGTGTTCACAAGGCCTTCTGGTCCTTTGTCTTTATCCTAAACCTCTCCTTTTCTGAAGTTCATTTGAGTTGGTTTCTGATACATGCACCAAATAGAGTCCTAGTTATATACAGACACATGTAGATACAAATATACATACAGATGAAGACATATTGTAAAATATTTGTAAGAAAAAGTGGGATGAGGGAAAGGGAGGCAAGTATATAGAAACACTATACTAACTTTAGAAAAACCCATTACATCAAATGTTAATTAATAAATGAATAAAAAGAATGATTTCCATGAGAGGTAGGAAAATGATCCGATCTCATTTCTGAGAAAGTGTATGAAGTCTCTGCTTCGTGCAGAAAGGAAAGAACCCTTGGCTGACAGATCCCTGAAGTGGGAATCCAGGTCTGAGAGGGTAAAACATGACTTCCTATGGGTGGAAATATTCTACAATTCATTCACGTACTTACCCAACAAACATTTATTGAACACCTCCCCGTGCTAGGTGCTCTTTAGGGTGCTGGGATTCAGCAGGGGATAAAACAGACAAAAATGTCCCCTCCTTCATGGAGCTTACATTCCGGAGTGGGGGACAAACAATAAACAAAGAAAGTTTGACAGGTGGTTGATAAGGACTAGGAAGAAAAACGAAGTGCCGTCCAGCATGCTGAGGTGGTAGTTTGAAGTGTGCGATCAGGGAAAGCCTCACTGAGAAGGTGACATGAGCACAGACACGAGCCGTGCAAGTGTCTGTTGAGCAAGTGTCTCTGGCAGAGGGTTAGGGGAGTCTTTCTCAGAGGGGCCTCATTCATGGTCTGATCTCTTCTTCTTCAGGCAAATGAAGCAGATGCTGTGACCATTGATGGAGGTTTGGTGTTTGAGGCAGGCCTGGCCCCCTACAACCTGAAGCCCATCGTGGCAGAATTCTATGGATCAAAAGATGGTGTGTTTTCCCTGGGGATGCAGGTCTTCAGACGTGGGAAAGGCAGGGACTCTGTCAGCATTACAGTTGCAGGGAACAAAGGTGCTGGAACTCTTTGGATTTAAGGAGGCTGTCATGGCAACCAACCCACAAGGGCTGCGAGATTGGTTCTCCCTGGGCAACTGCAGGCTTTGTGCATTCTGACGGAAATGCCATTCCTGCTGCTGGCTTCTGCTAGCCAGCCTGAGGGGGGGGCTGCTATCCAGTCCATCACACACCCAGTGGGGTTACACCAGTGGGAGGCCCATCTCTGTAGACACACAAGGATCTGGCTACCTCTTCCCTGTGCTAAGTCCCCCACAAGTGCTACAGGCCTGTGTCTGTTGTAAGGAGAGGTTTTGGGGAGTCTAAAAATGGGGCTTGGGGTTTTGCCTCTTTCCCAGACTTGTCTATTAGTGTCATCAGTGTGTGTGAACTCAACCCACTTCAGTTTGACTCCAACTTGCAGGGCTGTGGCATACTCTTGGGAAAACCCTGCGTCCTTCTTCTCACACCTTAACTTTTGTGTTTGAGCTGCAGATAGAGAGGCGAGAAAGGAGGAAAGCCCACGGAGAGAAGCAGTAACATCAGGATGCCTGGAGCTGAAGCTCTCCCTAAGAACGCCCTGCGGGTCCTATAGTAGCTGGTGTCCTTGGACTCCTGTCTCCATTAGCTTGGAGGGACTGGCAGAAAAAGAAATAGTGTTTATTGCCTTACGGAGAGAAGCAGTAACATCAGGATGCCTGGAGCTGAAGCTCTCCCTAAGAACGCCCTGCGGGTCCTATAGTAGCTGGTGTCCTCGGACTCCTGTCTCCATTAGCTTGGAGGGACTGGCAGAAAAAGAAATAGTGTTTATTGCCTTAAAAAGGGACAGTTTTCTTTCTCCTGCCAATTAAGGGGTTTTTGTTATTTCCCTTTATGCTGGCTTACCAGGGGATGGGGCACTTCCCAGGAACCCCCCAGGTCCCCATTGTACATACTGCAGAAGATTAGTAGCAATGATGTGGCATCTTCCTTCAGCCCTTCTTTCTCTCTGCTCCTTTGCAGATCCACAAACCCACCATTATGTCGTGGCCGTGGTGAAGAAAGGCACCAGCTTCCAGCTGAACCAGCTCCAAGGCAAGAAGTCCTGCCACACGGGCCTGGGCTGGTCTGCTGGGTGGAACATTCCCATCGGGATACTGCTGCCCTCTGGCTCTCTTGAAGCAGGTAAGCCAACTGGGGCTGGAAGCCCTCAGGTAGGGCTTTTGCATCAGTTATCCCATGGGCCATGCTGGAGTCACACAGTCACTATCAAGTGTGTTTAATGGCCTCCAAGACAGGGCCAGAGTAACCTGCTTTAACTGTGGACTGCTGGGGTGTGCACCAGCATGCCTGGGGAGCTGGCAGATGAGTCTTCTCTGCTTTTTAGCAAAGGTGGCTCTGCCTCTCTGAGCTTTTAGGTCCCACCTTCCTGGCAATTCCAGCAGCTTGGCTTGACAAGCGCCATCATTGAGACCCACTGAGAAAGGCCACCTCCCTCCCAGCTTCCCAGGAAGGCTTGCTGGGAATCTAGTCACACTGCCAGCTCTCAGGCCTCCGTGCTTTATGTGAGGGCTTGGGACACAGGCAAGGAAGGGATGACTGGACTGGTGCTAGGGATTTTTGTGTACCCCAGGCTTCTTGTCGGATTATGTCAAGCCAAGGTGAGCCTAGGGAGCCTTTTCAGCCCTTGAAAGATGACGGTCAAACCTTTCTGAGCTCCATAAAGGTGTGTCTTTTTGAGCCCTGCCAACCTGTGCAGCATTCACGTTTTGACTGTGACAGGTACCAGTGGCTGCAGGGATCTGGTGAAGTTCTACAGCCTGGACCACAGTTCTGACTGTGTTTTGCCATGTTTCTTGGGGTGTTCACTGGCCTCAGTGTCAGATGCTACTGGACATCTGTCTGGGCAGTTATGCAGAAGCTGTTGGCATGCTCCCACCCCACACCAGCAAGTTATCCCAACTCTCTCCCGGCAGAGGGACCCCTTGAGCTGCCACAGCATCTGGATACAGACAGGGAGGTGGGAGTGGGCCTGCATCCTGAGGCAAGGAAGGGCTGTTGGCTGTTGGCTGACCTGCAAGGATCCATGCTGTGTCTAGGCCCTTTAGAGCCTCCATGTTGTGAATTAACAGAGGCGAGAGGCACTGGGACCACCGTCATGGTGCAGTGTAGATCAGCAGCTCCCACACCCTGCAGTGGACAAGCTGGGGAGACATTCTCATGGGCTTGAGTCCTGGACCCATGCATGAGTGTGATGCTTAAGCTCACAGGACCCCAGGCCATCCACTCCCTCCAGCCTGGACATTTTTAGCCCCCTCCTGCAGGCTGTACCTGGATGGCCTGTGCACACACAGGACAGTCCTGGGAAGGGTGTGCAGACTCATGGGATCGCAGATAGGGCCACTCCCCCCTCCCCACACACACACAATCTGTAGGTCCCAGCCAGCTCATGCCCTGTGGTCCATGTCTCTGTGTTGAGCAGGAGCGGCCAACTTCTTCTCCAGCAGCTGTGTCCCCTGTGCAGATGGGAAGAAGTTCCCCAGCCTGTGTCAACTGTGTGCTGGGAAAGGGACAGACAAGTGTGCCTGTTCCTCCCATGAACCGTACTTTGGCTACTCAGGTGCCTTCAAGTGAGTGAGATCCCCTGCTCCTCCTTCTCACTCTGAAGTTGGGGAGACGGAGGCACAGGGAGTGGGCAGGGCCTGTCCCAGGCCATCCAGAGCATAAGTGTGAAACCCAGAGCCCTGAGTGCCTCCCACGGCCAACCCTCGCTCCCAACCATCTAGCAGAGCAGTCTTCTGTGTGGAAGCCCCTCTTGTCTCTCCAGAGCCTGGAGTCTGCACATGTTACCCTCCTGGACCAGGCAGGGCTGAGGGGACAGCCTCGTCTCTGAGAATTTGGGGTCTGCAAGCACAGGCCTGGGCTCCTGGCAGGGCCAAAGGCCAGGACCTGCCAGTTCACATCTTCCTGCTGAGCTTCTCCCTGTGCCATGCCGGGGACCTGTGCTTGCCTCACCCCACCTTCCCCTCAGCCCCCTGCAGGCACCGCTCCATACTCCATGCTCTGAAAGAGACGTGGCTACTGCTCAAAACCAGAGCAGAACTGGCTGGGAATCCAAGGCTACTCAAAGTCTTTATTCTCCATGTAAAAGGCTTTAAGCCTTTATTTTTTAAAAATCTGTTGCCTTTGGCTGCTTTCCAAGAGGCAGTGAGGGTCTTCCTTTCACACCATCCCTCCCCAGGCTTGGCTGTGGGGTTCAGAGGCCCCTCAGACAAGGCCATTGCCTCTGTGAGGACAGACTAATGCCCAGGAACTCTGGGCAAAGCCCTGTGAACCCTCAGAGGGCTGCAGGAGGGAGGGGCAGGGGAGGCCCATGTCCTTGGTGAGTGGCCTGACGGTGGCTCTCCTGCTCCTCAGGTGTCTGAAGAATGGCGAGGGGGATGTGTGTTTCGTGAGGCACATGACGGTGTTTGGTAAGTGATGGACAAAACACCACGTGGGCCCCACCCTAGCCAGGGGAACTGCCGCTTGCCCTAAGGTTTCCTTATACCTAGACATGAGAGAAGATCTCTGCTGCCATAGAAAGTTTCTGTGTAAACATTTTGTTATTTCTACTTTCGTTAGTGCTCAATTTGTTCCATCCATCAATCTACTAAAATTTTCTAAACATGTAAATTTACCAACTAATAAAACAAAACGAGCTTTAATAATCAATTCTCTTAGTCATTGAAATATCAATTTCAAATTTAATCACGTTCTCCTGAACATTTTATTACAAGTTCTCCTAATGTTTCAAATACCTTAAGCAAACACACAAGTTATTGTAAATATTTCAGAACTTATTAGCATATCTACAATTAAATCTATTGCAAAAGCATTATTACCATGGACAAAAATGTATTTCTTCCTAATATTTTTCTTTGGAAAAACCACAAAACTTTTCAGAGTTTTGGACAATTTATCAGAAACAAACTAACAAAATTATATTTCAGACAATTTGAGTTACAGATTCTGGGTTTTATAACCGATTAAATTTCTTTCAGATACGGATCACACTTGTACCACGCAAAATGTTTTAAAATCCAAATGTATATTCACTGTGCGAAGTTTATTTTTGCAATAAACGTCTGCTACCTCAAAGAGGATTTCAAGCCCTCACTTCTTACACGGGTCTCGCAACCTAGTGTTTTTCCCTGAAATATGATTTCAGTGTTTGTTGTTCCCTTGTTCAGCCGTTCAATATTCACCGAATCCTCGTTATTACATTGACCTGTTTTGTTAGCTTTTGGCAATGAACGCATATCTTATTATCAACAATTTTAATTAGTGGGGTCACCTATAGGTCTCATCTTCCAGAATCAAGTTGTTCCAAATAATTATCATTAATGTCCTGTGGATGCTCAAGTTGCCCCAGTTCTGCCAGTGGGCAGTGTCACTTCACAATACCATGAAGTGCTGGAAGTATTTGAAAATACCCCCACTTTATGGAAACAACATGTTGTCCAGACCATACTGATTTACCTTTGCCAAAAGGCACTTGTCCACTATTATGTAAGATCCCTTATTGTCTTTTAAGGAGAATTTTATGAAAGACTATCCACTGGCTTTAGGGATGAAAACAAGTGTTGGCAGTGAGCCAAGGTCTGCAGCTGCCACCGCTGGGCCTTTGAGTGACCAAGCGGGGAGAGTTCTTTCTAAAGCCATTCGATCATATTGATTCTTTTAACTTAATTCTACCATTACTAAATCACTAAAAAATTTTTAATAATATAAATATTTTAAATGTATTTTCTCTGTGACATACTGAATTAACATTGTAACCCTTCACCGGAGCTCTAATCATACCCCTTTTCTTTCAATATGAGATTTTATCCACTCCATAGAACTTCCATATTAGTTTGCTAGGACTGCCATAACAAATTACCACAAACTGGGTAGTCTAAGCAACAGAAATTTATCATCTCATAGTCCTGAAGGCTAGAATTCCAAGATCAAGATGTTGGCAGGGTTTGTTCCTTCTAAGGCTGTGAGGGAGACTCTGTCCCATACCCCTCCCCTAGCTTCTGGTGGCTTGCTGGCGATCGTTGGTGTTCCCTGGCTTGCAGACACATCACTCCAGTCTCTGCCTTCATGTTCACATGGCATTCTCCCTGTGTGCTTGTCTGCCTGTGTCCATATTTCCCCTTTTTATAAGGACAGCAGTCATATTGGATTAGGGGCCCACACTATTCCAGTATGACCTCATCTTAACTACTTACATCTGCAAGGTCCCTGTTTCCAAATAAGGTCACATTCTGTGGTACTGGGGATTAGGACTTCAACATATGAATTTGCTGAACCCATAACACCTTCTAATACTTAGACAATGAGAACCAAAGAGCTCTTTTCCCTCATGGGCTCTTCCTGGTCTTTCTTTGTACTTGCAGAGTGCCCTGGCTGGGTCCCTAGGCCTCCTTCCGTCCCCATCCCTCAACCCTCCCTGTCTTTCCCAAGCAGGCTCTGCCTCCAGGGGGATGTGGCCACTTTAGTGGGGACCTGCATTGTCCTAGCATAGCAGTGTGTCAGTCCCAGACTAGCTGAAACTTTCAGCAGGTATTGTAACTCTCTGAGCCTCCGTTTCCTCAGCTCTGGAATGGGACAGCCCTGTTACCTGTCTCCCCAGTGCTGTGAGCATTAGATAGAGCAGAGTGTGGAGGCCTCAGCACAGTCTTCGGTGGGCCACGAGAGCTCAGCGCATGTTTGCTGCACCACCCCTATTGGCAGAGCAACAGACAAGTGGGCAGCTTGGGGTGCCCTGGCCATTCCTGCCTCCCAGCCCTGTATATGCCTGTAGTGACGCTGTGAACCAGTCACTTCAATCCCAAGGCCTCCGGTTCCTCATCTGTATAAAATGTGTTTGGAAAGATTCTCTGTCAGTCCTCTTCATATTGGCAGAGCAACAGACAAGTGGGCAGCTTGGGGTGCCCTGGCCATTCCTGCCTCCCAGCCCTGTATATGCCTGCAGTGACGCTGTGAACCAGTCACTTCAATCCCGAGGCCTCCGGTTCCTCATCTGTATAAAATGTGTTTGGAAAGATTCTCTGTCAGTCCTCTTCAGGTCACACATTTTGTGGTTCCGTGAGGAGCAGGGCACCACAGCTCACAGCTCTGCTCGCAGTTGGCTCATCTGGGCTTTCCCTCCTCAGAGAACCTGGAACAGAAGGCTGACAGGGACCAATATGAGCTGCTCTGCCGGGACAACACCCGGAGGCCAGTGGACGAATATGAGAAGTGCCACTTGGCCCGGGTCCCTTCTCATGCCGTCGTGGCCCGAAGTGTGGGTGGCAAGGAGGACTTAATCTGGGAGCTTCTCGATAAGGCTCAGGTATCCCCATCTGCTGTCCTCCCCTGCTGCTTAGTGCTCTCTGCTTGGATTTGGGGGTTTTCCTCCTTGCTCTCTTGCCACTCTCTAGAGGCCCTTGTGTGTTCAGGACACAGTGGGAACCATGGCCCGTGCTCCCCTATCATCCCATTGGCATGTGATCTGCCCTTGAATCGCTCACAGATGAGTGTGGCAGACACAGTGAGTACACACACAGTTATTACCAGATGGAGTCACACAACCTTGGGGAGAGGGATCATTTATTTTGGGGAGGACAGAGGGACTGATTTGCAAAACGTGTCCTGAGAAGCTTCCTGGGCCCAGG